GAATTACTGGAATTTTGGACTTCGCTCATCGTCCGGTATTCTAGAAACTAGAAAACACAACGTTTCGGAAACTGGATCTGTTTCCTTCCTCAGGTGAGAGGGGGAAGACACCTACTGGGTTGGGTCACTGGACCTGAGGTTAGTTGTTTCTAAGGGACCCAACTGAGTAGGTGTCTTCCCCCTCTCACCTGAGGATGGAAACAGATCCAGTTTCCCAAACGTTGTGTTTTCTAGTTTCTAGAATACGAGACGATGAGCCAAATCCAAAAATCCGGTAATTCTGAGTGTTATACACCATCGTAAGAACCCTTTAGAATCTGCGGCCATATTCATCTTCACTAGCAATACAGCGCTTTTCGAGCTACAGCCTTCCTTAGAAGATCCTGTTGGATTTTTCTCTTTGCGAATTAGACCATCCGGTTTCATTTCTTTGGCTTTCGTAACAATGATTCCTTTTTACAGGGCAAGGTCGTCAGCTTTGCGTCCAACCCCCAACCTGGAGGACCAGGTCCCTGTATTTATGTTCTCCAGGAACAGGGTGGCCCACTTATACCCCCAGGCACCGGTTCCCTTTCTGTCGCCTTCTACGCCTCGAAGGGCTGAGGTGGAGGTATTCTAACCCGCCTCCACAAGGGGAACAGAGCATATTATCCATATTAATAATAATATTTGCATAATCACTGGATTTTCTCGTCCTTTGGGTCTTTCTTGTGACTGACTGACTTTAGCCCTACAGACAGGATAATTACAATTTTGTCTTCTTTGGTTTATTTCGGTAGAACGCAATAGCAGTAATATTATGCTACAAGCCGGAAGGTCGCGGGTTCGATTCCCCATGAGGACACTGGATTTTTCAATTGACGTAATCCTTCCAGCCGCATTATGGCCCTGGGGTCGACTCAGCCTCTGACAGAAATGAGTACCGGAAATCTTCTTGAGGGTAAATGGCGATCGGCGCGTAAGTCTGATAGCCTCTCCGCCATCTGTGAGCCGATTGTCTAGAAAATGTGGGATCCTCGACGTCTCACAGTCTTATGGGCCTCCACGGCCTGCTACAGGGATAGATTCATATTTTCGTGATTTCTACCATTCTTATTCCCCGCACATTTTCGGTCTTGTGTCTTCCGTCTGTTCTGTCGCTACATTACGATTTTCTCGATACTGCAAATTCGCCAGTTACCCCTATAGGTTAGGCACACGGTGAAACTCGTGTACGTTGGCCCCTGTGGTTTCACTAATTAATCACAATCAAAATTATCGGAAAAACGTAACATCAGATGCAATAAGCCGATCACATTGGCCGCGCGGTCTAAGGCATGAACAGTATTCTCCCGCTCGAACACTGGGATCGCGGGTTCGAATCCCACTCGAGGTATGGCTGTCTGCGTGCCTTTATTTTGTGTTTGTGTTGCTCTGTGTGTAGGTGTAGCGACGGGCTGATCTCCCGTCGAAGGAGTCCTACCCACTGTGTACGTAAGCAACTGAAAAAGCGGCCAAGGTCCAAGGTGCTGTAGGGACACAGTTGACTGATGAGAAAATGTTGCATGTTGTCACGTAATGCTCAATGCAGTAATAGCCCCTAAAGGAGTTCTGCGAAGCAATTTACGGCATACAAACACGTCAGAGCATTACACAGCACATAACAAAACATAAAGCATTCCAAAGCAGACGAATGGAAAACACGACAACACTACACGCAGGTTACTAATCAGAATATTCAATTATTACGTAACACGTCTACCATAAAGGATAACGAATTCTAGACTGCAAAATGCGTCCCATCTGGGAACCATCTGCCTTATGTTGGCCCGTCAGTGGCGGCTCGTGAGCAGCTCGAAATATGCGGCGTGGACTTAACGTTCTGATTAGCTTGTAACCTTACGTTCGATGTTTCTAAGAGACGTCATTTCGCACGTTTCAACATGTGCAGCTGAAGGTTTATGGCACGAAAATCTTCTCATCATTGGCTGCTGGCTTGTTTTCCTTGGCATAGACCTCTGCCCATTCATGTTCCTAGCCGTCACGAGTTGTGTGTTAAAGGTGTTCAGAAAATCAGCTTAACAATGAACTGTCACTCGAGCATGTGAAAATATTTCCTTTCTTATTTTCTGTTAGCATGATTTCAACCCTGATGTGTTTGCTGTGTTTCAGGTGCAAGGTCACACTTAAATGCGTTTAGCAGCGTTTTCTCATCAAGTTAATAAAGAGGTACTAAGCAGTTTTATAAGATAGTGATAACATTGTAATATTCACGAGTTGAAAATTAAGAACCGTTGTACTTAAGCGCATGCGCCACCCTTCGGTGAGTATTAATTTCCGTCACTCCGTCAGTCTGTGTAATCGTCTCATGACTCAAGGTACGCGGGTTCAAACCCGGCGGAGGTCGTGGAATTTTTAAGAGCGAAAAAATTCACGGAACAAGGCCTCCGGGAGGGACTTTAAGCCGTCGGTCCCGTGTCGTAGATTTACGGCACGTAAAAGATCCTCATGTCTCTAGGAGACCTCTGAGCAAAATTAGGCAACAAGTTTCCCGCCCAAGTAGTTTCCAATGCCTCTGGTAGAGGGGGCAAATATCAGGTACCGAGGGCCGACCTCGTTGGCTGAACGGGGCTGATAGCACGCAACAGTACCGGTAGGGTATGGCGACAGTAGAAATTAAAGGGGGACGCACAATGGACCAATAACTGGTCTAAGTGCATGGGGAAACCCACCCCCTCTAATAATAATAATAATAATATAGGGAAACTTTAGACGTGGACAAATTTTCGCAAAATTTGATACTGGGTAAATTTGCCACAACACTATAGAGAAACTTCAGAACATTCAGATCGGACACGTTTAACGATGACTATACATTGAGACCTGCGTACATGCTTTTCTGAAAGTATCTCGCCAAATAAAATAGTGTAAACTGTTGGTCCTCTGGTGGGAAGCTCAACTCAGCGGGCTTTCCATAAAGCCATGACACAAAACTGTTCAAAATGCGGTTTAATTTATTCTTCTAATGTAGCACTCCATAAAAGATGACTGTGAGGTATACATTTACGAGTGGACTGGAAGGCGGTGGATGCTATGCGCGCGCACATCCTTCCGTCAACCCCGGGGATTCCCTCCACATTCAGGCGCGTTCTGGATGTTTTAGAGTCTTACGCTGACCGAGATCCTCCTCGAAGTTCCGGATCTAGAGAGTTCACTCACTCCGCTCTCAGAACTGGCGTGCAGCGTTACCAAAAGCGTCAATCGGTGATTCCCGAACTGTCAGACGCAGGTTAATGAATACAGGTAGGCAGTGAAGTGGTATTCACTGAAGTCAGGCTCAAAGAAAACCAACTGACTTCAAGACCTTAAGTGACAAGCAGTAAACAAGCGCTCCGAAACAAGACAAACATTACGGTATTCAACAGTTTAAATGCACTTTCCAAGCCAACTTCTGTGTCTGGAGTCATACATCCACAAATACAGGTTTCCTCGAACGTCTCTTTATAAGCAGTTTGCACTCTCGGCCCATATTCACGGGTACCGGCTTTAATTTTCGGCTCGGCAACCGTTTATCCCAACTGCTGTTGCTTCCTTTCATGCCCTTGCCAATAATCACCGAATTCGACGCCAAGTAAACAGGGTCTTGAAACAGGAGATGAAACAAATAAAATAACAAAATGTGTTTACATATTTTTATAATATTTACCAAAGGATATAAAATTCCTACTGGCTGGTAAGGCGAGAAAATGCGTATTTGTATTCAAGAGGTACTGGATTCGAATCTCGAATGCTGTGACTAGGGCTATTGAGTTTCTCGAACTGAATGAATGAACAGAACACTGAGCTGTATCGTAGCTACTTGCAGTCACACCTGCACGCTACAGAACGGGAGTGCAGGAAACTCACTGAACACCAGACAAATTATCATTTCCAGACGATCAGGGGCCCCACACAAACGTGGATTGAATATCGCGTGTGTTTACGGAAGTCAACCCCACGCAGCAAATATTTTTATATTTAAATATTGAATTCTACCAATATTTTCTCCGTGACACGAGAAGCGATCTAACCTGTAGTAGAGTCCTGTCTTGTTAGCCAGCTTCCGGTCCACTGAACAGTATATTGTGGTTTGGGCACCCTCCTCGGCATTCTTCAGGAACAGGGAGCCGAGTCCGTAGAACACCGCCTTAGCTCCCGTGAAGAAGGAAGTGTCCCAGTGACGTTGCAGATCGGTCAAGACTACTCCTGGGTGCACCGCATATGTTGTCACCCCTGTATCTAAACACAGTAACACGAATATTTGCGACATTTCTGGACACTCATTCAGTCACTGGAGGGCAGTCTCTCAACAGCATGCGACCCAGAATGTGTGTTGTGTCACGTATACCTGTTGCCAGGCAGCTATACAAGAGCCGTTGCTAGGTAATGGCTCTGTAAACGACGGCAGTTGCTAGGTAATATCCTCTACAGATTTGTAACACAAACAAAGGAGTAACTGGGAAGCGATGTTCTCTGCGCAGTCCGTCCGATATCTACGTGATGCAACAATAGAAGAATTGTTGGGAGGGGTGTTTTCTATTCTAGAGTAAATGCCTTGGCACGAATAAACCCGTTGTTGAAATGCGTTCAAACCCGCTATCCAGTAGCAAGGAACGGCTCCATTACGCGTTAATTGTATGCGGCCCCTTCAGTTACTCTCTCGGCTAAAAGCACACACAGCATGGTCACGATTTGGGAGTGTGTCACTATAGACGGGGTATGGATTGGATATTGGATGTATTAACACTTATGCACACAACTTGGAACTACAGCGCTATCGCTGATCTGCACACTTTCACATCACACGCTTAGTCTTCTCTTCACAGCCGGACTTCGAGTCAATTGAACTCGCGCGATTCCGCAATCATTTCAGGTATCGACTCCGGGACTCTCAATCCAGTTTTCTGCCACAAATGCCAACTATCTCGTTGCCATCTCTTCTCAGTTTCTTTCGACTGTCGCGTCTCAACTGACTCAATTCAGGGCAAAGTCACCTTGCGACTGACGGTCAGTCAGTCAGTAAGTCTTCGTGTCGAGCCCCATCTGGGCTCATGACCAGGTATTTATTACTGTTTGACAGTTACGGTCTTGTTTCTGTGGGGCGGCATCTCTGATGAGAGGACGGGTCTGTCTTTTGTATATGCTGCTGGCCCTTGCCAGTGCAGTCTTTCTCGGGTCCGAGTCCCTTGGGACTCGCGACCATATTTTACTGTCTCAGATTTGAGACTTCCCTTTTCGTCGCCTCCTACGACTCGCAGGGTCACGGTGGAGGTATTCGACCCCGCCTCCACACGGGTGACTGACTCAGTTGGCCTGAGGATCCTCATTATGTAGCCTCGGGGAGGACCCAACAGGAAACATTGTTTATAACAATCCCTCTATTGTTGCTTGCGTATTCGTTTCCACGGAAACCTGTTTACCGAGACATTGACTAACAATGAACGTCTATCTCGCTCCACTGTTACGACTTCCAGAGGCTTACACGAACGCTTGCCTAAACTACGTTAGCCTTACCTTGAAGACGCCGGGCCAATTCTTTGCAGAACAACACGTTCGCCAGTTTACTCTGACAGTAAGCTTTCATCGGAGTGTACGCCTCGTCCAAGTTCAGGTCGTCAAAATTCATGGTTCCCCCTGAAACACGAGCACAGGAACGCACTCTCAAGCGTCCAGCTCTCCTGGCGTTTATTGACATGTGACACTCGCTAACTAACTAATTCTATCACTCAGTCATTCTCGCCATGACGGGATTTCTAGAACACTAGATATGTATTCAGTCGATCACGGTGACCGCGGGGTCTAAGGCATGAACCGTCTTCGCTTGCTCGAAAGCTGGTATCATGGGTTCGAAACCCACTCGAGGAATGGATGTCTGTGTGCGTTTATTCTGTTTGTATTGATCTGTGTGTAGGTAATGGGCTTGCGAGAAGCTGATCCCCCGTTCAAGGAGTCCTACCGACTGTGTAAAAAAGATTACGAAACTGAAGAGGAGGCCAGGGCTCAACAAAGGGCTGTAGTGCAATTGGTGGATGAGTGAATGAATGAATGAATGAATGAATGAATGATTCACCTGGCCATGAAGTCTCCTGTCTGGGAAACGAACGATAACGGATACAAAATTCCTTCGCCGAACAGCAACTCAGTAATAAACTAATTTCACGGTCTTCAGGGCTTCGACGGCGTATAATCCGCACAGAGTTACCACCGTGCCGACAGAAGTTGTCTCCATCGTCTACCCTCAAGAAGGAGACGGGATATTTCTCCGAAACGTTGGTGTCTATGACATTTTACATTGTCACTTCAAAGAAAACAGCAATCACATCGGGCACAACCACGAGAACCCTATTTCTTTTTAGTTTCTTGGGGTGGGGTGAGACAGTCCACTTGGTACGTTGGTCACTAGCTGGCCTACTGTACCAGCCCCGGACGATAAATAAGTGTGGAGCAGCAAGTGGAATGAGAATTGGCAGGGGAAACTGAACTAGTAGGAGAAAAGCTGCCCCACTGACACTGTATCGACCACAAATCCCACTTGTCTTGACCTGGGCTCGAACCCGGCCACTGCGGTGGGAAGCCTACACTATGGCACAGTCTATGAGAACCCCATATTGCACAGTTAACCTCATGTCTTTGAACTTCTTCGTGTGAGGCGTGTTTTAAGGATGTATAAGAGATACAATCTCAGACAAAAGTAGCTTAAATTCCAAGTTGACGAATATCTGCAATTTTCATGTCTTAAGTAAAGTCAGAAGTAAGTGATAAGAGACATAAATTTTAATGTGAGAGCATTTTTTATTTTATGACTTTTTTGGCTACATTTATCATTCACGTCACCCATTGTAATAAAATGTTTATTACATGTTTTCCACCCACTATAATAAACGAGGCGACTAACTTCCATAAGATCACATGTAAATTTGGTGGAAATTAAAAGTGCAATAAATTTTTAACGGGTTAGTTTTTTAAGAATTTCAGAATAAAAGAACGAAACATCTACACAATTTTTATCCATTTTGTACAATTTTTAAGCGTCTCCTATACATCTTAAATATTGTCTGCCCCTCGAACATCTCAAATAAATAGACAAAAACAGTTCATGAAACGGCTTTCTCGGCTGTTCAGTGGATGTATGAAATGCATCCTAAGGCGGCTTTAATGACGTTTTCTTTTTATTTCCGATATTAACAACGAAAAATACGGTAAAGAGCGGTGACTGGTGGAATAACTTTAGGTCCAACGACGAGCATTCTTAGCGGGATGGATTGAGCAGGCCACTTACAGGCGTGCACAAAAGACGACAGAATAACGATCCTGGCAGGAGCGGAGCGGATGATGCGCGGCAGGAGCAGACAGGTGAACAGGAAGTGGCCCAGGTGGTTGACCCCGAACTGCGTCTCGAAGCCGTCCTCTGTTTTGCCCTGGGGGCACGCCATGATCCCTGAGAACAAAAGGAAGCAATGTACCTTCTTACCCTGAGCTCTGTTTGTCATGAGTCCCTGAAAGCAACAGGATACAGGTCACAGTACCTGCATTGTTGACAAGCAGGTGGATTCTTTCTAATTTCTGCAGGAGCTCCTGGACGCACTGACGCACGGAAGCCAGGGATGCCAGGTTCAGGCACACCACTTCCACTGTACCTGCCCCCTCCACACCCTCTGTCTCACTGCGAATGTATTTGGCCGCTTCTTCAGCTTTACCCATATCTCTGCAGGCCATGATTACGCGTGCTCCTGTGGAAGTGAATATAATTCCGTACAGGGAACTCGAGGGCATGTAGCACGAAGTAATACATAGAGAATATAGGTGGGAAAGACAGCTGGAAAGAGACCACTAGGAAGACCAAGACATGGGGGGGGGTGACTACTTTTGAAGTGGATCTTACATAGGATGGAGTGGTATGGACTGGATTGATCAGGCTCAGGATAGGAATCAGTGGAGGGCTTTTGTGAAGAGGGTAATGAACCTTGGGGTTCTGAAGTTTTTGAACAGCTGCACAACTGGCGGCTTCTCAAGAAGGGCCAGATTCAAGAAGGCAGTAACAGGGAACTGCAGATGACAGCATTTTTCAGGTATTTTAAATTGTTCGTGGCAAAGCCAATTGAAATTAAATTGGGTATCATTTCTTCCTTGTCTTCATATTTCAACCAACTTTCATATTTTTATCTCGTTCTCATTTTTCTCCGTCAAAAAGCGAACTCCATCATACAGATGTCACGGTTTCAAACGGAGCTGCAACTACCACGGCGTAAGTACAACATAACATACACATATAACAAAAAATAAATAAATAAACTCCGTGGCCTGTAGTCTGCAAGCGAACTATACCGACCGAGCGACCAACGCTTGTCGGCGAAGTTAGTGCCAACTTTGGCGGATAGAGGGTGCCACGTGGCCAGCGCAACGGATCTCCACGGCCGTTAATCTCGGTTTTCTAGACCGGAGCCGCTATTTCCTTGAAATAGCTCGTCAATTATTCCCACGAGGTTGAGTGGACCGCCTTCCAGGCCCGCTATTTCTCAGAAAATCTGGTAGTGCCGGGAATCGAACCCGGGACCTCTGACCACTAGGCCACAGAGGCGGTCTAACATACACACATAGCCAGATAAAACATATTTTTGTGGGCAATTAACGATGCGTTTAGGATATACGTGGGATGATGCATTGAACTGGAAAGTATTTGCAACAATTCTGTCGTGGCCTATCAATAGAATGTACTGGGAATTGCCTGGAAGGACTGAGGAAAACATGAAAAACCTCAGTCAGGAGAGCCGGTGTCCCAGCCAAGATGCGACTCGAGAACCTTCCTAATAAAAGTTAACAGCTTTATCTCTAGACCAATTGGTACGGTTCCTCTTACTATGTATAAATATGTACATACATATATATATATTTATATAGATGGGGCACGCGGTAGCGTAGTTGGTTGAGGCACTATGCTACAAGCCGGAAGGTCGCGGATTCAAGTCCCGACGAGGTCATTGGATTTTTTCAATTGACCTAATCCTTCCAGCCGCACTATGGACCTGGGATCGACTCAGCATCTAACAGAAATGAGTACGAAGAATATTCTTCGAATGTTGTTGGGGGTAAAGGGCGACCGGTGCTTAGGGCTGACAGCCTTGCCGCCATCTATGAGCCGATTGTCTAGAAAATGTGGGAACCTCAACGTCTCACAACCCTATGGGTCTCCACGGCCTGTTACAGGGATACNGTATAGATTTTCAGAGAGGATATTAATAATAATTCAGTTTATTGTTGTTTAATGTACATGCAAATAATAATAATACTAACAATTATACTGTATTTAAAATCGTTTGGGGAGAACATTCCTGGCTCCGAATACGTCAACATCCCTGCAAACAACATTAGCAGCTGCTGCACTTCTAGCAGGGGGACAATTTTTAGATGAGGAGCAAACATTGAACAATGCAAAGTCTCTGATATACCGAGCAGGAACTATGAGACCAACAATTTCCAGAACAGAAGGGCAGAA